GGTGCCGGCGGTCCTGGGGCACCTGGGGGAGTGCACAGGGGTGCCGGCGGTCCTGGGGCACCTGGGGGAGTGCACTGGGGTGCTGGCGGTCCTGGGGCACCTGGGGGAGTACACAGGGGTGCCGGCGGTCCCGGGGCACCTGGGGGAGTGCACTGGGGTGCCGGTGATCCTGGGGCACCTGGGGGAGTACACAGGGGTGCCGGCGGTCCTGGGGCACCTGGGGGAGTGCACTGGGGTGCCGGCGGTCCCGGGGCACCTGGGGGAGTGCACAGGGGTGCCGGCGGTCCTGGGGCACCTGGGGGAGTACACAGGGGTGCTGGCTGTCCTGGGGTACCAGCCTCTGCTTCTTTCCTATGTAAACCCCATGCCCAGCCAATCAGCTGCTGAGAAAATAAAAAGCATTTTTTCACTGCTTGAGTTGATCTTGGTCACCTTGTAACATATGCAGATGCCCAGGCAGGTGGGGACCATGTCTGCCCTGTCCTGCCCTGGACCCCCAGAGGCCAGCACAGGGCTAGTGCCCCACAGAGAGGACGCAGGGTATGGTGCAGAGTGGTGTGTAAGTGGAGGCACACACAGGAGACCACAGGACAAGAGGCTAGAAGGGTCAGGAAGGCCACCTGGGTGGAGTGACAGTCACATCTCAAGGCAGGGAGAAGAGTTATTCACAGTGAAGGGTAAAGAAAAAGGAGGAGCTTCAGGCAGTTTCAGCCTCGAGTAGCCCAGAGGCAGGATGCAGCATGAAGTGGAGAGACCTGGAGGGGCAGGGAGGCTGGGGTCTGGGCTCCAGGGGCGGCCAGAGGGAAAGCCCCCAGCACGCACCAGCATGGCCAGCAAAGTCAGGACCCCAGGGCTCCCGGTGACACCCAGCCTGGACGTTGACAGCAGCCACTGGTGGGGTGGGCTGTGTGGGCAGGCTGTGAGGTGGCGGGGACCCCACGGGAGGCAGGAAGACCACCCAGGCTGAGCACTGGACACAGGGGTGGGATGGAGTGGCCAAGAGCTCTCTGTCTGAGTGTTCAGGTTGCATTTGGGGTCAGGGTGGGGAAGGCAGGAAACGGAGGCTACTTCTGGATTCCCAGCGGGAGCTGCCTGAGCTCAGGGTGAGCAAAGCCTCTCCTCGGGAGGCCACGCAGTCGGTTTGAGGCCAGCTTCCCTGGAAGCCTCTGGGAGTCCAGCCTGTTGACCTGGTTTGCAGCAGGCAGCGGGGTGATCCCAAACAGAAGGAGGTGTTTCCCTGGGGAGCGTCAGGCCAGTGATGCAGCTTGGCCATGGCCAGTCTGGCTTCAGGGATGGGGCTGACGTGAGACCAGGGCTCCTGGAGGAGCCTTCCTTGGGTGCTTTGAGGGCCTGCTGTGGGGGTGCAGATTCTCACTGGCTGAAAGGGGACCCTCCTGGATTTAACCTGGTGACAGTTCCCAGTCCCGAGGGTGTGTAGCCAGAAGTTCACTGCACGCGGAGTGTTAGCGCCTGCGTCCAGCAGATTCAGGAAAGTCAGCACCAGGGATGTCTAGAGCACCAAAGACAGCGTCCACTCTTGGAGGCCTCAGGGCAGCTGGCTGAGAACACCAGGGGCACTGGCATTGGAGGAGCTGGCCTGACTCCTGGCATTAACCCACAACCCCACCATGGCTCTGCTTTTTAACCAGAGGACAGGCCCTGGATAAAACTGCCCACGGACTGTGGTCCCACTGATCTTCCTGAGGGAAAAGAAAGGTGGTGGCACGGGAGGCTTGACTGTGGCCTTGGAAAGCTGTCCAGGTMAAGGGTGCCGTCTGCCTGGGGAACCCGCTGCTCTGCTCTGCTCTAGTTCTCCTCCGGGCCCGACGGAACCACGGGACTGGACGGGTCCGAGCCCTTGAGGTCGTACCAACGTGGGTGGTGGGCACAGCCCCATCAGGGAGCCTGTCCCAGATGCTGTTTCAAGAGGACCCCGCAGGGTTCCCGACCACGGATGGTTTGTGGCTCAATGGGTGGGTCACAGAGGGCTTCCTGGTTAAGGACACTGTGTCATCTCGGAAGCCTGGCGGCTTGCATCCTAACAGGGTCACAGGCCTCCCAGGGACCACCACACAAGGGGCTGATCTGCGTTGTCCAGCAGGAGTGACCTGATTGTCACTAATACCTGTGGCCATGGAAAGCCAATCGAGTCAGGTGACTTTCCAGTTTGGGCCTTCAAAAGTCGTGTGTCTTTCTGACCTCTCAGAAGACTGAGTGCTGCAGTCGGTAGAGGCACCTGCGTGTGTGAGACCTGACTTAACTGCTGTGTGACCTTTTCAGTAAAAGGAGCTCCCTGTCACTCAAGTTCTCGAGAGATGCTCCATAAAGGAAAACACTTTCTAAGAAGTTCCTAGCTTGTGTCATACATTGTACCCAACCAGCAAACACAGACTGCTACAAGGATACACTGACCCCCAGGATATTGGTGATAAACCATTCTAGTAATTTTGGAAGTCACCCACCATTGTTTCTTATAATGTGTACTTTTTTTTTTATACTCAACCATTGAGCCCAGGGGCACTCCACTACTGAGCCCTGTTTTATATTTTATTTAGAGACAGGGTCTGGCTAAGTTGCTGAGGCTGGCTTTGAACTTGCAATCCTCCTGCCTCAGCCTCTTGAGTTGCTGGGAGGCTCCTGGTCCACTGTGCCCGGCGTAATTGTATCATTTTCTTCTGCTGCACGATGAGCTGTGGCTTTTAACAATGGAAGCTCCGAGGACTCAGGAGGGAGGGGCAGCCGTTTGAGCCCTCCAGGGGCCATACTGAACTCTGAGTCGACATCTTTTCAGGGGTGGGCTTTGTTTTTCCAGATCAGGTCATGGCACGGTTCACTGGGACAGCTGCCTGGGGTCCGTCATGGAGTCCAATTTGTCGTCCTCACAGATCCAACTCGGAAGATTCAGCATTAAATACTCCAGGCCTTTCCRTGGTGTTCAGGGTTAATTTTACAGGCATGAGCTTCGATCCCGTCAGGATAACGAGGTAGAAGAAGACTGTCGGCTGGGAGTCTGCTTCTGATGCCAGTGCCCGCCAGAAGGAGAGGCCCTCTCGGGTTCCATAACATGGCCAGAGTCTGGGCGGCTCCGCGCACACACCTGCTGTGTGTGTACAGGTGCCCTCGTCCGTCCGAGGCTGTAAGACACACTTGGAGCCCACAGCRCTGCAGTCCAGCCAACGTCCTTTCTCTATTGACTCACCTGGGCTGACGTTTGCCTTCAGAGTACAGCATTCGCTCAGGATCCTCCAAGGACCATCTCACAAACCAGCACAAGGGTCCATGGCTTCTGATGCTGCACTGGACAGAGGTGTGGCCTTCTCCATGGTAGGGCAGCAGTAGCAGAGGGGCAGGGTGACAGAGTTTGCAATGTCTTGGGTGGAAAATAGGAGACCAGAGAGGAATTCCAGAAGAGGCTAATAATCTACTTGCAGAGAAATGCTGAGTTTGGTTGAACTCTGGTAGAGTTGGAAATGAACTTGGAAAGAGTTCATTTCCCAACACCAGTTCCTGTGAGGCGTCTCCCGATAGGCTCTGCTCTACCTGGGCTTTCCAGAGGCAGGCTAAGCCCCAGCTGCGGGGTCTGTTCCCCATTGCTCTGCTCACGAGTGAACGCAGCGAGAAGCTCAGCGGGATCTGGAGTCCCAAGCCTGCTGGGAGGGAAGGTCACCTACGTTTGGCTCCCAGAAGCCTTGTCGGGACCATCCATCCAAGGCCAAGGCCCTGGAACTGGGTTTACTCATTGGCGGGGCAGGAAGGGTCAGTTTGGGATCCAGCACCTGCCAGTCCAGGAGCACCTCTCAACCGTCTGGCTGCAGGTCACGGGGGACCAGTTGCTCCCACTCTCTAGGAAACAGGGAAGTCCTGCAGCATTAAGTCTTGTCCCAAACTGAGGGCTATTTTTTTTGCTTCTTGAAAACTGAAGTTTCCCATGGAAGCCTGTGGCCTGGCAGGTGAGTGGCCTGAAAGGTAAGGTGAGCTGTCACCTGCCTCCTAGGGAAGAGCAGAACTGCCTGGCAGCACCAGCGGGGGAGTCGGGGTGGCTTTGTGGACACTCCTCAGCTGCAGGCCCACACTGGTGTGCCCAGGTAAAGGAGCAAGTGTTGACCCTCCATTGACTGAAAGGTGGCCAAGCCGAGTCAGCAGGTGCGCTGGGTAATGAGGTAGGAGAACTGGGAGCTACAGGAAACCTGGTACCACCGTTTTGTTACTTGGTGTCAGTCATCAATCAATTCTCCAACCTTACCCATGTTTTTTTTTTTTTTAAACTAGGAATATTGTCAGGACTRTATACGTAATATTATGTCCTTTTTAAATGAAATCTTTGACAATTGACAAGAGTCTTTGATTCCTGGGAGCTTTAGAGGGTATTAGGGGATTTGTGCAAAGATTCAGGATGAGCTCATTGGACTCTGGGCCTATGGGTTCCGCGTTTCTAACCCTCGCTGGGTTAGTTGAGGAAGAGGCTCAAGAAGGACCAGGAGTTCTGGAAAGACCAGGGGCAGCTGGCCAGGACACACTGGTTCTCCTGGGAGAACCGCTTGCTCTCCTCTGCCAACACCCTTCTTGGCCACAGCTGATCAAGTTGTCCATCTGTCTGTCCCAGCCCCTGTCCTGTGCAGGAGTCCTATAGCCACGGGAGGTACAGATTTGGACAAAACAGACAGAAGTTGCTCTCAGGCCATTTACATTCTATCAGGAGGGAGAAAAGTACTCAAATAAATAGACACTCAGTGGGATTCAGGGACACTTGCTAAGGAAAAGATGTACAATGGCTGTAATCAGCTGGAAGATGGCCCCCAAATACGTGTCCACGTTGAATCTCTGTAATCTGTGAACTTGACCGCATTTGGAAAATGGTCTTTGCAGATGTAATCAAGGAGCTGGGGACAAGGAGAGTATTGTAGATTGTTTTGGTGGCACTGAGAGCAATGACTAGTGTCCTTACAAGAGACACAGAGAAGATTTGGCACATGGAGAAGGCAAAGTGACCCAGAGTGCCCCCAGCCCTGGAGCCACCAGAAGCCAGAAGAGGCAGGACCCAGATTCTCACAGCCTTAGGAGGAGGCTGACCAGCAGGAAGGAAGAATGGCATCCTGGGTTGCATGGGGTTAAAGGAGTGTGGGACGCAGGGCTAGCATGTGGGAGGAGAGACTCCYGAGGGCACAGCCAGTCCAGACACCCCGGGGAGATGGGGGAACCAGCGTGTTTGGAGGAAGGGCGCTGGGTGGGATCAGAGAGGGGAGACCAGCGAGCTCAGGAGAGCTGGACGTGGGAAACAGGCCAGATGGTGGCTGGCCTCTTGGGCCTGACTGTCCTTCCCTGAGAGCACAGGGCTGGGGCTCTGAGCTGGTCAGGACCCAAGGAGCTGTCCAGCCCCCCAGAGCAGCATGGCCCACCAGGGCTCTGGCTTGACTCCACCTCCAGCCTCAGCACAGCCTCCTCGCCCCGGGCCTCCCTCCTGCATGTGGAGTGTGGCTCCCTGCAGAAGTGTGGCCCAGCCCTCAGCACCAGAACTCAATGACCCTGTGAGCCCAGGGCCAAAGGGCTGCCCAGAGAAGCAGGCCTTCTCATGGGGACAGAAAGAGTTGCCACCAAGGCAGCAGGGAAGCACCCAAAAGGGGCATGGGCTCCACAGAGGCCCAGACCCAGCTAATTGGCAGTGTGGGCAGCCCGTCAGCAGCACGGGGTAATTGGGCCCTGGAGTCACCATGCTCCTTCAGAAAAAGCCACAGCTTTCCTCCCTGGTGCTTGGGGGAGGCCACATCTCAGGAGCCGGTTCAGGGCCCTGGTCACTGGCCAGCCTGCAAGTTGCTGGACACGGGCATAAGCCACTCCTCGTCCCCTGGCAGCTGCAGCCCTTCAGAGTGAGCTTCCAGAGCCCTCAGGTAGGACCAGCACGTCATGTGAAGAGGGTCTGCCTGGCCTTGCTGAGATTTCAGAGTGCACTTATACCCTGCATCTTGGTGGAGCTGTGAGTGTGTGTGATGGTGGAGCCCTGGACCCAGGCCTTCCACACCCAGGTTGGGGCGAGGACTCACCTCTGTGGTCTCAGCACCCCACATGATAACTCATGGGGGCTCCATAAGTGACCCTTTTATCTGTAAGCACCATGTTGAGTGTGAATCTGTGGGTACTGTGCCGAGTA